CATTCCAAGAACAGCGGAGACCCCCAGGAGACCCCAGGATGGGCGAGCGAGGCTCTCTGCTGCATGGGCTCCTTCCCTCCTGCCCACAAGACCACCAGGCAGGGACGAGTTGATACTTTTTACAGGTTAGGAAACTGAGGCACAAGGAGCGGAGGCCAGATGCATTGAGAGGGCCCCAGGCAGAGAGTGCACACGGCCCCGCGACAGATTGGTGACAGGCAGGAAGACACGCTCAGGATGCGGGTCCCAGGCCCCTTCGCAAGCGCCACCCCCAACTTGGGTGGGCCCTGTGCCCTCAGCAGCGGGGTTCTGGCGCCCCCTGGTGGGCAGACTGGGGACCCTGACCCGAAAGCCAGGTCCCCAACAGAGGGGCCCGCAGGCAGCCCCCACCTCCTGCCACAACCCCACGGCCGGCTCCTCTCCGCAGCGAGCAAGGGGGCGCCCGCGGGAGCCTCTCGGACAGGGTGGGGGTTGAGCCGGGTGGGGGTCTCAGCTGGGGTCCTGCGGGCTCAGCCAGTGTCAGAGTCTCAGCTGGGGTCGAGGGGACTCAGCCGGGCTGGGGGGCTCAGCCAGGGTCGGGACTCAGCTGGGGTGGGGGGAGTCTCAGCCGGGACAGGGGAATTAGCTGGGGTGGGGGGAGGGGTCTCAGCCGGGATGGGGGTCGGAGCTCAGCCGGGGTGTGGGGGGGTCTCAGCCGGGTGAGGGTCGGGGCGCAGCTGGGATGTGGGGGTCTCAGCCAGGTGGGGGTCGGAGCTCAGCTAGGATGTGGGGGTCTCAGCCGGGTGGGGGTCGGAGCTCAGCTAGGATGTGGGGGTCTCAGCCGGGTGGGGGTCAGGGCTCAGCTGGGATGTGCGGGGTCTCAGCCGGGTGGGGGTCGGGGCTCAGCTGGGATGTGGGGGTCTCAGCCAGGTGGGGGTCGGGGCTCATCTAGGATGTGGGGGTCTCAGCCGGGTGGGGGTCGGGGCTAAGCTGGGGTGGGGGGGTGTCTCAGCCTGGTGAGGGTCGGGGCTCAGCTGGGATGTGGGGGTCTCAGCCAGGTGGGGGTCGGGGCTCAGCTGGGATGTGGGGGATCTCAGCCAGGTGGGGGTCGGGGCTCAGCTGGGATGTGGGGGTCTCAGCCGGGTGGGGGTCGGGGCTCAGCTGGGGTCGGGACTCAGCCAGGTGGGGGTCTCAGCCGGGTGGGGGCTCAGCCTGCCCTTGGATCGCAAGGAAAGCCTCGGTGGTTTTCACTCATTCTTAGCCTGGGGGCCGCCTCAGCACTGCAGGCTCCTCGCCGTCCCTGACCCCCACCATAAAACAGGGGCAGGCTGCGACCCCCCCAAAATGTGGCCTCGAAAAAAAAAGCTCCAAGCGCCCCCTAGTGGTGAAGTCCCGCCCCCGCGAAAAGGGAGGCGGGGTCTCAGCTGGGGTGGGGGAGGGTCCAAAGGGGCCCTGCTACCCCCTTTCCCTGCCACCCTCAGGCTCCCCCCCCTCCCCCCCGCAGGAAACCCCCAGACCCGCCACCGAGCAGACAGGAGGCAGAAAATTCCTTCCTTCCTGAGGGTGGAGGCTCATTCACTGGCCCCATCTCCCCATTGCAGCAAAAGCTGACATTTATTAGATGCCATCTGGGTTCCCCAGCCCTGTGGTCAGGATTTTTGTACACATTATTTCTTTTCATCCTCACGACAGCTTATGAAGGATCCTCTCTTGAACAGGGCAGGTCACTGAGGCACAGAGAGGTTAAGGAATGTGCCTGAGGACACACAGCAAGGAAGTGGGAAAAGAAATCAGGCAGCAAGTTAAACAGATGCCTGAGAGGGAGAATGGGCAGAGACATGAGATAGTGGAGGATGGGGAGGGCTGGCGGTGAGGCAGCTCCTTGCCCACGGGTGCCCTCCAAGGTGGAGGAGAATTATTGGGTGGGGACCAAGGTTGGGATGGGGTTTGTAACAGAGCAATGGATCCCAAGCCCTCTTCATTTGGGGACACTTTCCCTTGAACCCCAGATGGAGTCATTTTGCCGACCCCAGGTCCAGGTCCTTTCTTACAGGACGTGGAGGCATTGGGGCTGCTCTGGAGGGCTGCCTGGAGGAGGCCATCTTCACGTGGAGGAGCTCTCCATGCTTCCGTGGCTGGGAGGCCCCTCTCCCTCCTCCTGCTGCAGCCCCCAGTTGCCCTCTCTTTCCTTCTTCTTTTTGGGTCTCTTTTCCTTCTTTTTTATTGCAGTAGAGACAAGAAGGACCTGGATTTTTAAAAAAAATCTTGATAATCCAATTTAATAAGGACCGATAGTGTTCCAGGCCTCTTATAATTCTCGCAAACCCGCCAATGAGTCCTCAGCCCTTGTTCCCATTTGACAGAAGAGGACAGGGAGACTCACAGAGGTTAAGACGCTTGCCCTGATTTGAACCCAGCGGAAGTGGTGGAGCCCACCCTGGAGGGCATGAGCCGACCCTCACTCTTGACCTCTAGCCTCTCTGGGTTCCTGGGTCTCAAAGCAGGGTGGATGGGCAGGCAGACAGGTGAGGGGCAGACTGGGGGTGGACGGGTTAATGAGTGGATGGGCGGGAAGATGTATGGGTGGATGGATGGGTGGATGGATGGCTAGATGGATGATGGATGGATTGGTGGGTAGGTGTAGGGATGGATGGTTGGGTGGGTGGTCAGACAGATGTTTGGATGGATGGGTGGATGGATGGATGGATGGATGGGTGGATGGATGGATGGATGGATGAGTGGATGGATGAATGGATGGATGGTGAGTGGATGGTTGATTGGATTGATGGAGGGATGGATGGATAGTCAGATGGTTGAATGAGTGGATGATTGGATGGGTGATGGATAGATGGGTGGGTGGGTGGTCAGACAGACGGATGGATGGATGGATGGTGAGTGGATGGTTAATTGGGTGGATGGATGGAGGGATGGATGGATGGTCAGATTGTTGGATGAGTGGATGGTTGGACGGATGGGTGGATGATGGATGGATGGGTGGGCGGTCAGACAGATGGATGGATGATTGAATGGATGGAAGGATGGATGGTTGGGGGAATGGAGGGACAGAGGGAGGGATAGGTGATGGATAAATAGGCAGATGGAGAAATGGATGGGGTGGGGGCGATGAAGACTTTACAAATCCCAGGGACCCACATATTAGGGGATGGGGTTAATGAAAAGGGAAGTCAGCGAGGCCCTGTTGGTTCTGAATCTAAGAATCATCCCCAGCGCTGAATTCCTCATCCCAGCTCAACTCCCTCACTGTAGGCTCCTGATGGGCCCAGGAAGCTCCCTGAAGGAGGGGAGGGGCTGGGGAGGGGAGTAGGGAGTGTAGAGGCTTGGAAAGGGGAAGGCTACAGGCCTGAGAGGGGCCGAGAGGGGCGGGGCTCCGAGGGGCAGCTCGGTGGTTCCCAGGTGGGTGGGGCCCAGGTGGGTGGATCCCGGGTGGGTGGGGCCCGGGTGGGTGAGGCTCAGGTGGGTGGTTCCCGGGTGGGTGGGGCTCAGTGGTGGTCCCGGTGGGTGGGGCCCCCGGTGGGTGGTCCCAGTTGGTGGGAGGCTCGGTGGGTGGGCTCAAAAGTGGGCGGTTCCCGCGGTGGTGGGGCTCAGGTGGCAACACACACATGGACGTGGGCCGGCGTGGGTGGTAACACACAAAAGTGAGAAAGAGGACCCTCGTGCAAAAAGCCCCCCTTGTCCGCCAGACTGGCTGCGCCTGATGGATGGACCCTCCTGACCACAAAGCCGAGGAAGAGGAAGAGGAAGACCAGCGCGAGTGCCAGACCCAACAGCCACTGCTTCTCGGCCAGGTCAGCCACTGGGCCACGAGCTCGGGCCCACTTCCTGCCGTCCCTGCCGCCAAGGCCTCGCAGGGTTGGGCCTGAGCCGGCTGCAGGACCGGAGTTGCAAGAAGGGACAGTCGGGCGCGTAGAAGGGGGTCTCCCAGCATCTGACCCTCCCGGTCAGTCTGTCTGCCCTGCCCCTTGCCCAGCGGGCTGTGGGTTGCAGCCCCCAGAGGAGGAGCAAGTGACCCGCCGGGGACACCCCAGGCAGTGCGTGCCCCACACCACGGGAGGTGGCGGGTGCAGAGAAGCTGGGCACACCTAGGACGTGCCAGGCCTTGCGATCACCCGGTAAGCCCCGCGCCTCCTTCAGACTGCACCGGAGCCTCAGGTTTCAGGTGGCCAGAACTGTCGTCCTCACCTTAGTAGACAAGCCGAGTTGAGGCTCAGAGAGGTCGGGCCACCTTCCCAGGGCCACACAGCACTCCAGAGGAGCAAAGTTCTTGGTCTCCCAGCGGGGAACCACACCCCAGCACCACCGTGTCCTAGGACACGAGCCTGCAAACGCCCCATCCTGATGGCCACCTGGGAGCCGGGCCCTCCTCTTCCATCAGCCATCGAGGCCTGCCTCGGTGACTCCCTTCTTTCTGAGCCGCGGTGCTTTCAGCTCGAACATGGGGCTGGCGGCAGGCTATTGGAGAACGAGCAAGGCCCAGACACTGGCGTTCAGCGCGAGCGTCTACGAGGGCCACTTACTGTGGCGATTTGTCACGTTGGCTGTCCCGCCCCCTGGCGGACGGTCTTGGAGGTGTTCTCCGACGAAAGCTCCCCACGGGGGCTGGGAGCCAATGCCAGCCCTTACCAAGATCCTCATCAAAAAATGGTTAATGGCCCAGGGCAAGGTCCAGGGTCCGGGGAAGGGGGGGAAGGGGGAAAACGGGATGGAGCAGAGAAAGTGCTCCTCCCTTTCCAAGATATCGCGGGGGGCCCTGGGCCCCCCTTCCAAGACCGGCTGCCAGAAGCAGTCACGTGTCCCAAAATAGCGGGGGCGGCGGGTGGGGACGCAAAGGTTTTCCAGGAGACGGGCTCGGGGCTCAAAGTCCAGTGCTCAGGCGGCGGGGGGAGGAACAAGATTGCCGGGGCAGCGTTTAATCTGCCTGGACATCTGGGCATCTGCGCCACCCTCCGCGCCCGCCCAGGCACTGTCCCCAGCCCCCAGCGCAGTAAGGTGATTCCCGGGAGACGACGGAGCCCTCCTAACGGGCTCTGATCCATTCTTTAATGCGCGGCCCCCAGGCCGGTGGGCGCAGGGACGTGCCGGCGGGTAGAAATCAGGCAGCGGGGACAGAAACCAGGCGGCGGGTAGAAGCGGGTGGAGCCATGAGACTGGGAGGGGTTGAGGGTGTCTCTGTGGCCGAGGACGCTCTCCAAGTACAAGAAGGACCACCCAGCAGGACCTCGCTCGGGAGGGGGCTGCGTGGAAGCCGAGTCCTGCCCAGAGAGCCCCTGGAGGGAGGCAGGGCAGTCCCGCACCGCTCCACTCCGGACGCCCTGTTCTCAACCCAGGTGGAGTCACTTCTCTGGCTTCAGATCCAGAGTGTTGCTCGCGGGGTGGGGAAGGGGCATGTCTGGGGGGCTGCCTGGAGGAGGTGGCAGGATCATCACATGGCCGTGTTCTTTGTCTTCTCAGGGTCTCTGCCCTCCTCTGCCTCGTCCAGCTCCAGCCCCGAGTTGCTCTCTCCTTCCTTTTCCGCCTTCTTCTTCTTTTTCTTCTCCTGCTTGTCTTCCGTGCTGTGGGGATACAAAGGCCCCAGGCCCCATCATGAGAGACAGAGTCACTCCTATTCCGTGACACTTGCCTGTGCCGGACCACGTGTGGACTGCTTGACAAGCGGCATCTCCATGAATCCCCAAAATACCCCTCACTAGGCAGCCTCGAAACTTCCATTTCAGAAAGGCAGAAACGGGGGCTCAATTGCTCCACGGATGGGTGGGTGCATGGATGGGTGGGTGCGTGGATGGGTGGGTGGGTGGATGGGTGGGTAGGTGGATGGATGGGTGGGTGGGTGGGTGGGCTGGGTAGGTGATGGGTGGGTGGATGGGCGTGGTGAATGTGCCGTGGTGGGGCGCGTCGGGGATGGTGGGTGCGAGGTGGGCGGCGGGATGGGTGGGATGATTGGATGGGTGGAATGGGTGGGGTGGGTTGCGCTGGGTGGATTGGGTGGGAATCGCGGTGGGCGGATGCGGTGGTGGATCGGATGGATGGATCAGGTGCTGTGGGTGCGTGGGTGGGTGGATGGGTGGGTGGGTGGGTTGCGTGGGTGGTGGGTGGACATGAGGTGGCGTGGATGGGGGGTGATGGGCTGAGATCGGATGGTGGCTGGGTAGCGTGCGATGGGTGGGGTGGATGGTGGGTACGGATGGATGGGTGGAGTGGGTGGATTGGATGGATGGATCGTGGAGGGTACGCTGCTGAGTGGGCTGCGTTGGATGGGTGGGCGCTGGTGGATGGGGGGAGGTGGATGGGTGGGTGGGATGGTCATGGTGGGGTGGATGGGTGGTGAATGGGGTGGCGTGGGGTGGTGTGGGTGGTGGGTGGGTTGGATGGGTGGGTGGATGTGGTGGGATGGATTGATGGATGGCATGGGTGGGTGGGTGCGTGGGTGGATGGTGGGTGGATGCGGTGGGTGATGGTGGGTGGATGGATGATGGATGGGTGGGCGTGGGTGCGTGGTGGGGTGGATGGGTGGGTGGATGGGTGCGGGGTGGTTGGGTGGATGGGTGGGTGGGATGGGTGGGTGGATGGTTGGATGGATGGGTGGGCATTGGGTGGATCGGGTGCGTGCGGGTGGGTGGACTGGGTGGTTGCGGATGGGTGGATGGATGAATGGGTGCGTGATCGGGGGGCTGCTGGCGTGGGTGGGTATTGATGATGATGGGTGGTGGGCTGGATGGATGGTCGAAGATTGAGTGCGGCGTGAGATGCGATGGGTGCGGCTTGGGGTCGATTGGATGGGAGGTGGGTGGGTGGATGGATGGGTTGGATGACGTGGGTGGGTGGTGATGCGATGGCATGAGTCGGTGGGTGATGGATGGGTAGATGGGTGGGCTGGATGACGGACTGGTGGGTGGGGGGTGGATGGTGGATGGGGGGTGGGTGGATGATGATCGGTGAGGATGAGTTGGGTGGATGGGTGGGTAGATGGATGGATGAGTGGGTGGGTGGATGGATGGATAGGTGGATGAGTGGGTGGATAGATAGTTGGATGGGTGGGTGGATGGATGAAGGATGCAGGGAGGACGCTACAGGTGTAGGAGCACAGGTGGGATCTGGATCCTCTAGTACATCCTGGGAGTAGAAATTGCACTTTATGGGGGCCGAGAAGGGTCTTAGACAAAGCCAACACCTGGGTCCACACCTGTCCCTCAGGCAAATCTTGGGCTCAGCTAAGACTCTTCCAGCCAGGGTGGTCTCCTCCCAGCCCCCACTCTCCTCCTCCTGTCCCCAAGCCTTTGCCCTAGCAGAGCTCCCAGCCCTGACCACATCCCCGAACCCTCTGTCAGCATTGTCATGTCGGGGAGCAGTCGGAACCATAGGTGACACTGAGTCCGGGTGAGTGGTCCACACCAAATCACACAGACACCTGCACAATCCTGCCCCACAGTCTTGTTCAACGGGTATGTATTGAGTGCCTACTGTGTGCCAGGCAGGACACAGCCAGGACCAAAGCTAAGTTCTCCCCTCCTGGAAGGCACCACATAATGTTGCAAAACCAGGGAATGACTGAGTTTCCACTGGTGGTGGGTGTGGCTACGACACGCGGGTATGGGACAGTGCTGGGAAGGCTGGTGGCCAGGCTGGGTCTCTGCAAGGAGGAAACTCCTGAGCAGGGACTGAGGGAGGAAGAGGGGGCCAGAAGATTCGGGAAAAGCAGAAACAGCAAGTGCAAAGGCCCTGGGGCAGGTGTGTGCTTCAGGGATTCCAGGCAGTAAGAGGTCATCCGTGCACACCCAGCCCCCCAGCCCGAGGACGGGGCTCACTCGGACCCCCTGCACCCGCACGGGTCCCTGTACCCGCACACGACAGTACCTCAGGTCCACCTGCTCGTAAGGGTTGCTCTCCATTCTGAACGCAGTCTCCTCATCCTCAGCCCTGCAGAGATGGAGCTGGGGGTGAGGGCGAGGGGCGGGCACTCGGTGGGCACAGCCTCAGCCTCAGTTTCCCAAACCCCATAGGGGCTCAGGAACTTGAGGCAGCAAGGAGCGGGGGTGGGCCGCGAGGCTGTGGTGGCAGTGGTGGGGGAGGGTCTGGGCTCTGGGGCGGGGGTCCGAGGAAGAGCCCAATAATGGGGACAGCTCGGACGGGCGCGGGGCTGGCGGGGCAGAGGGGACCCACCTCGCCTTGGAGCACCAGACGCGGTTGGCCAGCATGAGCAGGTAGACGATGAACAGGAAGCCCACCACGGCCGCCAGGCCCACCAGCCACGGCTTCAAGCGACGCTCCGTGACTGCCAGGAGTGGGGGGGGCAAGACTCAGGGACAGGGAGGGGCAGGGACCTCCCACCCAGGAAGAGGAGGGGAGGAGGGGACTTAGGGGTGCTCAGATGGAGGGGCTCTTGGGAAGGGGGTGAACCCCAGAGATGGGGGTTTTGGAGAGGGGACGGGCCGGGACTGGGGAGGCCCCCAGGGGCTGCCAGCCTTCCTCCTCCTCTCCCGCCCCCTGCCCCAGGCCTGTGTCTTGTCGAGGGAAGTGGGGACATGGTGAACCCCCAGCCAACTCCACCCCTAGGACGCCCCCCACCTCTGGCCACCCTTGCACCTACCCTGCTGGGCCTCCACAGGGGACAGGAGCAGGACCCCCAGCACGAGAACAGTCCCCAAGGTCTCCATGACATTAAGCCTTCTGCCCGCCACCAAGCTGCGGTCGCAAGTGGTGCCCACAGGCAGGTGCGGGTGAGGACCTGCCCACCGTGATAAGACAGACGCAGGCAGGGCGGGGGCAGGGCCGGAGGGAGGGCTTGAGTCCCGGAAGGGGGCCCCTCCCTGGCCACCAGCCGGCTGGCACCCAGCCCCTCCCCCGCCAGCTCCTGCCCCACTGTCTTCCCCCTACCTGGAGCCCAGACTCTGGACCCTGTGAAACAATTAACTCGGAGAGTCGCACCCTGCCCCCTGCACCCTGCCCTTGGGGCCACCAGCCTCAGGGTCCCCCCTCCCCATTCCTGCCCCTCCCGGCGGGTGCCCCAGGCCGCTGTGTGCACGTGGCCGGACTCAAGTACAACTGGACTAAAATAACAAGAGCCACCTTTTGTGCCCACAGAGTGCCCACGAGGCTCCGTGCTCAGCGGTCTTATACAATGACTGTCCTTTTCTTAACTGCCTGGCCCCGTGGGATCGCGCCAGGCCCGCTGCACGGAGCCGGGGAGAGCCGAGCTGGTGCAGCAAGGGCCAGAGGGGGGATTTGAACCCGCATCTCCTTTGCCACCAGCCTAGGCTGCCTCCACCAGGCTCCCGGCCCCTGGGGACCCACAACCGGCTGGCGAGTGCCCACAGGGACGACAGGCTGTGTGCACGGGTCGCTGCAAACCTGGACACCCCGTGTGGGGACATCCCAGGAGTCCGGTGACTCAGGCTCCGCAACCTTGATCCCCGAGTTGATTAGATAGCTGGCCCTGCCCCACCCTGGCCGCCACGGGAGCAGCCACGGCCCGGGCCCGTGGCAGGGCGGCCAAGTGTGTGAGCCGCTGCACACGTGTTCTCAGGGCGCCCGAGGTGTCCCTGGGGCCTCCTGCCTTCCGGAAGTCTGTGCCAACCACCGGCGCACGGGCCACTGGGCGGAACAAGGACGGAGCCCGCGTGCCGGTGCCAGGACCAGCCACACGCGGCTCCGACCTGCCGGCCGGGCGTACAGTAAACTTCTACTGTGTGCCCAGTCTTGTGCCCGGCTCGGAAAGGAAGGCAGCCTCCGCACTGTCCCCCCAGGGGGCTCTTGGTGTGGACGGGGAGTCAGGACCCCAGAAACAAGCCGCACCTGCGGCCTGGGAGGTGGAGGTGGAGGTGGAGGTGGAGGCGGGGGAGGCCCAGCGCACGGCTCCGGGCAGGACCTGCCTCGGAGCTCTGCCCTCCAAGGTCAGCGGGCCCACTGGGCTCTTCCCAAGGAAAGCACTCTCTGCTCTGAGACCTCGGCGAGGCCGTTGCATGGCCTTGTGCCTCAGTTTCCCCATCTGTTAAATGGGGCGATAAGTCCTACCCCGGAGGATTAGTGAGATAATGCCCGGGAACAGCGTGCCCGGCGCAGCGGCAGGTGCACGCGGGCCACTAGGTAAGCCTGACACCCGCTATTGCGGTTTTTAAGTCGCCGCAGTTGTCCTGGTTTACAGATTGCGGGCGGCGAGCCGGGTGAGCAGGGCAGGCTCTGCGTCCCCGGGAGGAGCCGGTGTCCGGGCCGGCACCGCCCGCGGGGACAGAGAACGTGGCCCCCCGCGCAGGCCCGGCCGGAGCGGCCACGCGGCCCCGAAGCGCCGGCCCGGGCGCAGGCGCGCTCAGTTCACCCTCCAGAAGGAGCTTCGCGTCGGGGGCTCCCGGAAGGCGATGGAGGGGCGGCGGGGGTCCCGGGCGGCGGCGGCTTCCGCGGGGGCCCCGTCGCCACCCGCGCCCGCGTCCTCCTCGCCCCGCCAGGCCAGCGCCAGCTGCAGGTCCAGCTCCTCCAGGTCGTCCGCCAGGCTGGGGCGCAGCTCCCGCGGGGCGCCCGCCTGGTCGGGCTTCGGGCCGAACGCCCAGTCTGCGGGGACAGGTGGGGGGGCGCGTGAGGGTGGCCGCAGCACCGCAGGCAGGCAGGCGCAGCGATGGCGCCGCGAGGGGCCTCGCGCACTCGTGCGCACCATGGGGCTCCTCGGACCTGGTGCGGTGCCAGGGCAGGCCGCAGGTGGGTGCATCTCCGCTGCTCGTGCTGCCACTGGCCCAGGACAGTAGGCCCACTCGTGGTCGGAGAGCGCGCTGGCCACAGGCAGGCCTGACGGTGCCGCGGAGGGCGGCTGTCACGCTCTGGGCAGCCGCCTTTGCTTGGGCCCAGCTTGGGGCGGGGCAAGGACACCCAGAGGAGAGAATGGCGCGATCAGAGTCGAGTACCGGGCAGACGAGCGGATAGAAAGGGCTCGGCTGGGACACCACAGCCCCAGCCTGGTGGTCAGGACTCCGAATCCAGGGAAAACTAACGCCAGAGCTTACAGCTGGCGCCCAGAGCAGCCCCAGCGGGAAGTTCCTGGGGCCTAGAGTCTCGCTCCTGTCACCCAGGCTGGAATGCAGTGGTCAGTCACAGCTCACTGCAGCCTCCCAATTCCTGGGTCATTGAGTGATCCTCTCACCTGCGGTGGCCTCCCACTGCTGGGATCACAGGCGTTGAGCGAATGGGCCCACATTTGCCTGGGTTGGTTTTTCTTTTTTTTTTCTTGGGACAGACATCTCGCTCTGTATGCCGGATAGAGTGCCATGCCTGTCCGCCCTAGCCTCACCAGCAACCTAAACTCCTGGTCAGCGATCCTCCTGCCTCAGCCTCCCGTAAGTACTAGGGGACATACAGGGCAATGCGCCACATGACCGGCTAACTTTTTTCTATATATTTTCTAGTTGCCAATTTAATTCTTTCTCATG